AGCCAACTGCCAGTTAATATAATCTAGAATAGAGCTATTTAATATTGGCGTGTGTGGAAATGATTTTCCACTAGTGACAAAACCGTTCATGCCGAATGACAAGAGTGCTTTTCTTTGCTGCTTTGTAGCCATGCTGTGTAGATTACTACTAACTACATAAACGTCTTCACTGTTTCAGCGTGGCATGCACAGTGACAGCAAGCTAACACTTACCAAAACAGTGGGGACATTTCAGACAGTGCAGCCACTGCCAGGCACCAAGGAGAGAGAGAAATTACGCAGACTTACAGACACGGTCTTTATCCGTCCTGCTCCAACAGTGAAGGTAACCACAACACTTCCTGTTCAATGCATAAGAAGCACTTCAAGCTCTAATCTGCTGCACTGATTCAACAGCAGACTGCACAAAGCTTCACACAGAGCCAGCCGAGGCTGACTCTTACCCCGTTTTTAATCATTTAACCAAAATCTTCAGCTGTGCAAACAAAGCACAGTTGTTCAGTGTTGAGCCTTCGCAGTAGGATTATATTTTTCATTTTAAGGTACTGTAGTTTTTCAGCTGTTAGGAACACAATCTCTTTGTGTCCTATTTAAGTTTTAATCTGTAAGAAATACTCATTTCTTTTATCAAAGTGAAAGTGGTATTTATGCCAAAATGTATTGCTATACATCAGCGATTCTGTAGGAGTTTTAGGATGGGGGTGTCAAACCTGTTCTCCATGAGATGCCCAACGGATCCAGTCTGACCCCCTGGATGGCTTTAGTCACTCAACTTTTATAATGAAATGCACTGCTAATCCTGCAATCTGGATACTATACAGGAGTAATACATCTATATAAATGGAAATACAGAGTACTATTATATTGGAGTATAACTTGTGTGTTTGGTTCCAAAAGCTTATCATCTGAAGGCAGTTTTGGTCTTTAGCAGACTTACTGTGAACAGTACAGTTGATTTCACACAAAACAGAAATATTGTTAAAATGCTAAAATATGTCTTAAAAGCTCTCAGTCCGTCTCTCCATAGATAAAACATGGACAAAAGTACATAAAGCTTAACTATGGCAAAATGTGTTGACTGCAATGCTGAGGATGTTACATGATAACCATTTTCAGGATGCTACTGAGGCCTAATGTTACAGAATTTTTTATACTGTAATGTTAGCTAATGGAGAGCACTTTGTCTGCAACAGTTTGAGGGTGTGTTGGAGTAAGAAAAGAAATTTCTTTAGGGATGAAGTTTGCACTTTTTCTCTGTACCTGCATGGGTTCCTTCCACAGTCCAAAGAAATGCAAGTAAGATAGCACTGTGTTATACTGAAAATGCAGGATAGGTATTGCCGATACTGATACTTATGACGTACAAAGGCAGCTTGTGTTGGGGAGACCAGTGTCATGATTTATGATCAATCATCAATTTGAAAATTATGTACACATCTCAATGAGCAATAAAATCAAACGTTTCGGGTTTTCATGTATTTTGAAGCTGATTTTTTTTTCCGGGGAGGACACCTGAAACTTGCCTCTCTCTAAAGCACTTAGTCAACTTCTGTTGTATCAATATGCTGTAGAACTAAGTATCGGTCCTATCACGCTAGTATCGAGTCAATACCAATACCAGCGATTCTATCACCTGTACTGTAGGGTTACGCGGTGATTGTAACATTCTGACTTACTGGTAACATTCAATGTTGTTAGAATGTTACCAGTAAGGTGGTAACTTTTAAACATCGTTTATCCAGCCTTTAAGGAGAAAGAATTTTGGTAACAAAGACAACACCAGAGCTTTTAGTGTTGAGCGTCTCGCAGCGTTTTCAGAAGAAGCATTTGTAGCTGCTCTCTGACAGGATGAGTCCGCCTTTACTGCTGAACACCAACCACAAGTGAGGAAGAGGAAGACGTCCCATCATCACAGCAGCTTGAAGTTACTAAATTACATGGATACTCGCACACGTGAACAGATTATGTAATAAAATTTAAGAGCAAGAAACAACAACAAAAAAAAAAACATCCCAGAAGCGGGACAGCAGCCTACCCGATCAGCTCCAGCAGAAGGCTGTTGAGGCTCACTCCGGTCGTAGATTTCGCTCGCATCAGTACAAAGATCTGCGGGAACTTGAGCACCATGCACACAAACAGTGTGCTGAAATTCGCGATGTGCAACAACGTGTCGACCTGCTGCATGTTGTAAAGAGAGGGATTACAAAATGTAAACTTTAGATTGACAGATCTATGCTAATTTCTATCAAAAAACGACCCGCAGGACCCTACTGCTCTGCCTCCACAATCAGACTGCTCGAATTTACAAAATACTTCCGCTTTGAACTTTCAAAATAAAGGTGACTGTGACTATGTGGAAAGCGTTAGAACTTTTAGGCTATAGTCTGAAACTTAAAGAAAATAAACAATTATATGAATGTGTGTAAAAAGTAAAAAAAAACAAACGTCTAACACAAATCTATTCATAGAATGATAGAGACTTTCTTTTATTTTGAAAGTGCACCTGTTTCACCTCCTCTTCTTAGCCGTTAGCTTGGCAGGTTCTCGTCAGACGGCATCTTTTCTCACTTCCGTACATCCACTGAACGCTGATTGGACGGCACACAGCTTCGCCCGGAGTATTTGAAATCTGTACTTTCTGAGCACGGAAAATCATTTCCTCTCATGAGTCTGGGCCTGCGCTGTAGTTTTTGTTTTGTTTTTAATATTTTCATACTTTGCTTTTCTAAAAACATCACAGAAAGCACCAACGTAGGAACTGTTACCATGTTACAGGCAAACTCCTCAATTGTTGCCTTGAAATATTGAAGTTGGTGCCAAAGATTCACACCTGCACCTTGAAGCATCTTGATTCTTCAGACATTGGGGCCCCAAACAGAACAGGACGACATTAAAGAAAAGTTGAAACAGAACGTTTCCGTGCCCTTTAGGTGGGAAATCACTGTGAATCAGCTTGTCTCTGATAGCAAAAGGCATAAATTTAAGATGTTTACAACAGGGATGTATACAGGGTGCTTTGTTTTTAAGTGGGTGACTACAGTGATTGCATACATGATTACATTATTATAAAGATATAAATTTTTTGTCACGGTCTGTATGGTAGACCGTGGGGATGGGGGGGAAGTAGGACCCAAAATGCAGGATTCCTCACAGCAAACAGCGCGTTTATTTACAGTGCAATAAATGACAACAAATCCCCGTGCTCTCCCTTGACTGCCGCATCATGTCTTCCCCAAAAAGTAAGTGTCCGTGTGCTCTCCGCACACATCCACCAGGCCTGATGATGCCTGAAACTCAGTGATTTGCCACACCCACACACACAGCCACTGATACACACAAACAAGGAACAACAGCAACACATGTCCATGAATTATTCAAGAACCCTTTTCCCCCAGACCTTTAATTCAAAAGAGAATTTTTTTTTTCTGTGAAAAAAAAATATTTCTTACGTAATTACTTTGGTGTAGTATTAATAAGGGGGATTTGTTATCAATAAGAAAAGCTGTAAAATCAATGTAAATACAGCTAAAAGTTAAAAATCTATCTGAGATTTTATGCTTGACACCCCTGGTTTAGAAAAATCTGGAGACGGTACAAAAGCAGTCAAATAGCAATCACAGGAGGATTATTGTTCATAAGATCTTAGCCAACAATTACAGAGGAATGCATTTCAGCTGTTTGGGGCTTTTGAAAGAGGCCTGCTAAACAGAAAAGACAAGTAAGTAAAAAGATAAAGAAAAAACTAACCAGTGTTTATTTAAACTAAGGGCAATGACTGATTTCTGTGAATGATATATTACCAAATGAATGCTTCAGTTGCGTGAATGTGTGCACTCACATATCCAATTTAAATTCATAATATTGTAGCGGGCTAGGGGGAAGGGCCACTGGCCCAAGGTCTTATGGGACTGTATACCTGATGTTAACGTGTTGTAAGTTGTAGGGTTATAACGGCAGTTACAGTTATCAGGTGTTGATTTGCCATTTTTGTGTTAGTGTGTAACATTAGTCCTGCTGTGTGTTCTGTGTTTGGTGTGGCTGGTGGAGCACAGTGAGTTAGACGGCTGTGTCCATTTACCACCTCTCACTTCTGTGTGTGTGTGAAGGGATGTTCCCCATAAAAGACTGTGCTCCCTGTAGCTTAGTATAACAGCTAAGGCAGAAATAGCAAGTTAAAACAGATGTTTCTGTCTCCTACTTGTCTGAGCTTGCCACAATGTTAAGATTCATCCAGAGAAAAAGAAGAGAAATCTTCTGTTCAAAACACAAAGCTTCTTTTTCAGGTGTAAGACTCTCAGTTATGCTTTCATGTTGCTTTTGTTTTTTGGCCATCAGGTTTGTACAGTAACCTGGATTTAAGACAGGAGACATTTGTTTATTTGTTCAACTTTAATAACTCTGTAAGGCTTCAGTTTATTAACATAATGAGTAAAGTGTGGACATCTCGCTTCTTTAGTCAAGAAAAATCTCACCAACTGATTCACAGTATCAGCTGTTTACAAGCAGATAATCACCAGTGATCAAAGAGGTTGTAATAATGATAATGTAAGTCTAGGTTCTTTGTCTGTACATTTATTTGAACAACTTCTGATCTATTAAAACAGAACCTATAAAAACAAAAACAAAACTGACCCAAAAGGACAAAAGATTAAGTCAGGATAAAAAAAAGTTGTAGCAAAGACCATTAAAAAAGTATGCCTTAACATATTTCTTGAAAATATCATTAATCAAGACACTATTATAAGTCAGCATAGATAAATGCAGCACAAACATAGCAGTAAAATAGTTCTGAAATATACCCATACATGAAAACTGACTTCAAAATTAATTCTCTACTCAATAGAAAGTCTGCATTGGCATTCTGCGAACATGCATTTTAACTAACTGTCCCTTACATGACCTCTCTCTATTTGAGTTTCCTGAACTCAGCAGTGTCTCCATAATCTGAAAGCCGAAATCCAGCATGAAGCGGGTGAGTGAACGTGGTCTGGACTCTGTGGAGGAGAGTCATGGTTTCAGAGACCAATAAAAACACAGAATACCGGCACTGTGATCCAGGTACACTCCTACTCTCCCAAACTGAGGACCTGAGACAGCCTTGTGAGAATTGTTGTGCACAAATTTAAAACCATTTCGGTCACAACATAATGCCCACGATGTCCTATTGAATCCTAATCCGCATTCATCTGAGAGCAATGATCTGCTGGTACTCTTGTATGCGACTGCTATATAAACCTGTTTCCCACTCCACTCCACCTCCCAGTAACAACGTCCAGTCAGACTCTCTCTACTCATGACTTGACACCATCCAGTGAATCTGTCTGGATGACTAGAATATGACTGCTGTTCTTTCACAGCTGTGGTTTTTCTACCCCCCTCACATAATAACACTGATGTGTTAGCTGTGTTCAGATCCATTCTGATTTCACGTGAATATCTTAGGAATCCAACTCTGGTCTTTGGCACTGGTTCTGACAGCAAAACATCCACCTCAGTGACTGTCAGTGAGATGTTTGTCCATTTCTCTTTCAGAACATCCTGCAGTTTATCACTGACCTCTTTCACAGCTGCTGTCAAATCCTCAAAGTACCTCAGAGGACGGATCTCGATGCTGGATGAGTCTGTAGACTCATTAAGTGCTGACAGTAAGGAGTAGCTGTGTAGAAATTGGTTGTGATCCTCTGTGCATGACAGCTGCTCCAGCTTGGCGTCATTTCTTCTCAGCTCAGTGATCTCCTGCTCCACCTTCTCCTGAAGCTCTTTGACTCGACCCACTTCAGTTTCCTGCTGGGATCTGATCTGCTGCTTCAGATCTGAGCTTCTATTCTGCATGAGACAGATGAGCTCAGCAAAGATCTTTTCATTTTCTTCCACTGCTTTATCAGCAGACTGATTGATGGACTCCACCTCCTGTTGAAGAATCGTCACGTCTTTCTCTCGGTCACGGAGTCTCTGCTTGAGTTTTTGTCGACTCATTTCCAGCTCCTTCTGCTTCTTGGTCCTTTCTGCTTCAACTGGGACTGTTTTGTGGTATTTATGGCCAATCAGTTTGCAGTGACTGCAGATATGCTGCTGATCAGTACGACAGAAAATCTTCATCGGCTCAAACTTGACTAGAGCAGATGTTTTCCTGGAGCTTCTTGCAGGGCTCGACAAGCTTGTGTTTCTTCAATGGAGCCGGATTATAATGATCCTGAAGGTGTTTCTCAAAGTATGATGCCACACAGACTAAACAGGACTTGAAGGCTTTCAGTTTTCTCCCGGTGCATACATCACAGGGTACATCTTCAGGTCTAGCATAGCAGTGATCAGCAGGAGCAGCTTGGAGTCCAGTCTTCTTTATCTCCTTCACTAAATTTGCCAACATGGTGTTTTTCACCAGGGCAGGTCTCAGTGTGAAAGTCTTCCTACACTGTGGGCAGCTGTGCATTCTCCTCCCCTTTTCATCCCAGTGGGTTTTAATACAGTTAATGCAGTAATTGTGTCCACAGGGAATGGTCACTGGGTCCTCGAGATGATCCAGACAGATTGAACAAGAGAAGATTTCCCTGTTCAGCTGAGCTCCTTTTTGTGCCATTTCTCCTCTCACTGTCAGCCGCTGTGTGAGTTTTCACTTCTATAGAAATGAAACACGTCCAAGATCTAAACAGAAACTTAGGAACAGGTTAGAGCTTGTTGCATTTCATAGCTGGAGGAAGAGGGAGGGAGGAAGAGCTGGGCTTGAATTTCATTAATAGCAGGGAAAAGGACAGTTTGAAGCACGCAGTATTTGTTCATCACCCCGTTGTTGTTGTTGTTGTTGTTGTTGTTGTTTTGACAAAATTTAAGTAGTTGGTCATTTTCAGTTTCGTCTTGGAATCTGAGAATTTGAATGACTGCACAAACTCAAACAGTATGGAAGATCATGATCACCAAAATCAGAACTGAAATAAAATCACAATTGTCTAATAAATATACAAAACTGAAGAGAAACAAATGAAGGCTAAAATAAATGAATTAAACATGACCTCAATTAATATTTGCTTTACTATGTTTTAAACACATTCATTTTCATCATATTTAGTTTCTTGTTTCTGCAGGGTTTTGATCCTTTTCTGTGCCTCCTGTGTTACCACATCTCCATTTGTTCCTCTTTTATTTTATAGGTCAGTTCCTCATATGGCTCACCAGTTTCCCCTCATCCATTCTTTTCCCCAACCTCATTATTATCTTTATTGACTTCACCTTTCTGTTCATGTTCTCCTCTAGTTTCCTCTTGTTGGCTGTTTACTTGAATTTCAATTTTGGGGGGGATTTTGTCAGTGCTCTCCTGTTACTCTGTATAATGCCCCAGTTATCAGTTAATAAAACTTTTTGTTTAATCCACCTATCTTCTAGATCCTATTGCATCTTTGTACTGGGTGTAAACAGATTTGGGTTTAATAGCTGATGATGTGTCCCAGCACATCCGTGAGATATACCCGTCATCTTTATGAATTTTTGCCTAATGGTAATGAGAACCGTATCGGTACCAAAACAGAACCCTGTGGAACTCAATGAATAATTTTTATGTGTGAGGAGGATTCCTTACATTACACTTACATGAAAAAACGCGGAATCTATAGGAAAATTACAAGTGAACCTTATCAGTGAGTTTGATTAAAATATCAGGACTTTATAACAATACTGTTTCCAGAATCGTATTTTCTTTCAACAATGGCAATAGAAAAATATGAGTTAAAGTTGTATGACATCTGAAAACATGAAAATATAAAACAGACATTTAGGGGAAAAATACACAAAAAAAGCACAAAATTCTCAGCTCTTAAATTCTTTAAAAAATCCCTTTAAACATGTGCTACATTTTTTGGTTTAAGTAGCTTTATTCCTGCTTTGAAGTTGATTTGTGCTTGATTCTTCAACTCCGAGTGTCCAGAGTAGCCTAGAAAGGCAGCAGCTCTGGGTCTGGCTTTTGTTTGCGTTGGCCTGCTGGCCAGAGTGTCAGCCTTTCCTGTCTAAGCAGTTCATCTCCCAGTGGAGTGTTCAATCTGCTACCATACACTTGGTTGGTAGTGTTGGGAATGCAATCAGAGAAAACTGAAAGGTTGTTCGGAAAAGGTCCCTACAAACAAATGGGGGAGTAATGTAACAGAAGGTCACGATTCAAGCTGCTTTTTTCATAATACTGCAAAATCTTTCATACCTAGTTAATGTACCATTGTAAATGTTTCACATTTTAGTTTATCTCCGAAATTTCACAATGGTTTCGATACACTTTCTAGTTTGTTGCAGAAACATCTTTAAAATAAAAAAAAAAAGCAAAAATCTTTTATCAAAGTTAAATCTAACAACTTCATCTTCCATAAATCACAATCAGTGGTAGTTTTTATTTGACGACCTATTAGTCCTTGTGTTCATCACTTATAACTGGTTGTGTTCAAAGCGTAAAGGGGAGTACATCTGCACTTTTTTTATACAATGTTGCATTACATGCATTTTTCTTACCATGTGATGAATATCCTTGATATCCAAGGTTTCCTCCCTGTGGAACAGATTAAGTTTGTTTCACTGATTTTTGAATGAACATGATCTGCCACTACTTGTTACTGAACCAGTGGTGCAATGTAACTTAGTACTGCATATTTGTACTTTAAAAAAAATTACTTGTTATGCTACATTTTTGAAGATTCTGTGAGAACATGTTGTGGAATATTACATAAAAGCTATGAAGCATGAATAAACGAATATGATCCAATGATACAATATACATGTGACTGTATTTCTGACGTATCATTTCGAGTTTTTCTTATTTAATGCCTCTAAATACTTGTTTCAACACTTACAGAAATGATTTAACACAGTAAACTCCAGTGCAGTGCTGATTTTCATATCATGCTTTCTGTATGAAAGTCATCCTTAATGTTTTTCCGTACACTTTTATCAATTTATTATCAAATATTCTAATCAATTTCCTGTGCCATCCCCGCCTGCTTCTTCGTGGTTCTTATTAGAAAAATCCTGGCAAACTCGCCTGATAATTTAGACTACTTTTCAAACCATGCTCACCATTCCATTGCTGATTTCCTCTCTTTCCGTACCCTCTCTTTCCACAACTGGTCCTGTTTATCGGGATGGACCCGTGTCGTGTCGGCCAGTCGCTCAGCCCCAGCAGAGGACGCAGGCCTATTGGGATTCAAGCCCATCGTGGTAGCTAGATTAAATATAAATACTGTTTTGTTGCATAAAACTGCACACAGGCCACAAGCTAATGAGAGTTAAAGCACCAGTCAGCAGAGCTTGTGAAAGAACTGCCCGGATCTAAGCGATTGTTTTCATTTCCATGGAAACAGTCCTCAATACCGGCAGAATATGTCTGAACGAAATGAAATTATGTCAGTACCCCCCCCCCCCCCCCGAAAAAAACCAACAAAAAACAAACAAAAAAAATAACCTAACTTACTTACAATGACCAGTTCACCAGTTCAAACTGCAGCTGATCAGTGTCTGGACCTTCTCTTCATATTTTAAATAGACAGCTACTCACCTTCTTAACAAAAACAAAACAAAAACAAAAATCTCCTACTATGCGCTCTGATATAGCGCCTCTCGTTTCCAATGACATCTCATTGGTTAGGTTGCCCATAGATGTGGATATGAATGCTAGCTGTGTTAGCGCTGAGCCATACTGGCGATCTGCCCAGGGTGTACCCCACCCCAAGGTAGCTGAGATGAGCTCCTGGTGGTACCTCGGTCCAGGTTGAGGACCAAAGGAGAATTTGCTTTTGAGGCTGTTGTTCAACTGGCTTTTATTGGACTTAAGATTTGTGGACACTTTTGGTACCTTATCTTATTTGTAAAAACACGGTGTGAATGTTGTTCTCGATAAGCTCTATAAATAAGCTTACCTTATAGAAATTTATTGTTATAGATGTAGACAAACCTACACCTACACCTAAACCTTTCACCTGATTCACATGATACTTTGTGGTTTTCCAAGTAAGGTCAGACCTATGATTTGGTCACTCGCTCGCTGTTAGTCAGTCAGTCAGTCAGTCAATCTGCTGGATGTTTTCCCCAACATTTTTGGTTTCCTGTAGCTTTGTGGGAGCTGTTTAGGGAGAGCTGATTCCTGTCCTCATCATTTGAAGGAGGAAAAGCTTAATATTTTTCTGCAGCCAATCTTCCCTGCTTCCTATTGAGAACCAGTAGTTTAAAGTAAATAAAATCAAGACTAGCCTGTTTAAAAAATCTGCAGTAATGTTGCCTCACTATGCATTCATATTGTGCTTATAGTCGGTTTTTCCCATAATTCTATACTTTAAAGAGTTGGTATGACCATCAACGCAGAAAAAACATAAACACAAATTAAAAACCATTGTGTTCTAGTGCTTATACACACCATCTCATCAGCCTGTAGTTTAAGTCTCTTTTTAGTGTTACTTCCAAGTGAGTTCAGCTGTGTCTTGTTACCTTTACGTTTCCACTCTCCCTGATTGAAACCTGTGTGTATTTGAAGCCTCAGGTTGCTCATCATACTGTGTTCCAGCCTTGGTTTCTCCTGGCATGTTTCCCCTGCAGTGGTCTCTTTTGTTTTTGCCCTTCTCTATTTTATGCTCTGGATCTACAACAGCGACGATAAAGGCTTGCTTTTTTTTATTCCAAGTCTGTCTCAGCAGTCTGCAATTTGGTCCTCTTCTCCTTTATTTCATGACAGAGGCAGAAACACATGCAGAGTGCTCTTCAGGTTCAATAAACACCAGCACCCATCTCTGAGTCTTCACTAAAAGTGGCTTGTCAGTCTGAATGGACATTGGAGGAAAAGTGTCACCCTGAGAAATTACCTTCTCCTGAAAAGAAAGATGTTCAGACACAACTTCCCACACTGTGACTGCCAATGATAAGAGAGGCATTAGACTCAAAAGTGACCTCTTGCACCATCCATCTTTGTGGCAGCTTACTTTTTCTGTTTAAAAGTAAGAGGTTTGTTGTATTCGGAGGTTGGGTGCTTCAGAATAAAGCAGTGCATCAACAAAATGGGTATCCTTTTCCTATATAGCAGAATAGAGCATTTATTTTAGATGAGCAATTATGAATTCTGTAATGAAAACATGAAATGGACTTAACAGTCATGAAAGTGCTTCCGTAAGAAACTAAAGCACTGGGTTTAAACATTGCTATTTTAATTACATAAAGTAATCATAAGGTAATATAAAGTTGTTTCTCTTTTGTCGACTCTTCTACAGTTTTTTGCCCAACAAAAACAGAAA